TTTTAAGAATATGGCCATAAATATTTTCATTAAAAGAACAGTTAACGACTCCATGCCTTTTGGGAGGATAAAGCCCTTCAGACACAAGCCCTTAATTCGTGGGTGGGTTGTGCTTGCATCTTCTCTGACTCGAGTGGCTGAAGGGTGGCTACAACATCTCTCTCACCAGCTCATGCCTGAGACCCGTTTTGTGCGTCTCAGGGAACACCTTTAGCACAGCTTCTTTTCATTTATTAATTCTTTCTCTTTCCCCCAAGAAACCAAAAAGAGGAACAGTGCATTGTCTTAGGTTAGGTTTCCTAGGAAACAGACCCGGGAATGGCGCTCTGTGGGCAAGAACATGGTTGCGCAGTGCTCTGGGGGTCAGCAGCTGCAGAGGATGAAGGAAGAAGACCGGCCGAGGGAGGATTGACACACAATCACTAACAAGGCTGACGCTGGTCCTCACTGCGCGGGAGCTCTGGGGCTGGGATGGTTCTTTGGAGTCATCCCAGCTTGAGGCCACCGTGTGTGCCTCCCACTGGTTGTGTGTGGCCCCGGAGAGGGGGCCTGAGCTTGGGCAAGGCAGACTTGTTGGGCTGAGAGCAGTTCCCAAAGAGGAGCAGCGGACGGTTCAGGAGCTAACACTCAAGGGCTAGAAAGTGAGAGCCTCCGTGGTGAAGCGAAGAATCTCGGTGGCCCATGGTGGCATCTGTGTGGTGCCTCTTTTCCATGAGACTGTTTCCTATCAACATATTTGCTTAGTTTGGGGATTAGAATTCCTCTGTGTAGTGTGTATGTATGTACATATATATATATATATATATACACCCATCCTGTATCCTCTATCTATGTTTATTGCTTGTATTTACATGATCTCTCTCTATTTCTAACCTGGTGTGCTATGCTGATATGCTCAGGAATTTAAGAGTCTTTCTGGATGCACAGAGCCCAGTAAAATCCAGAGGGGGGAGGTGCTTTTAAAATGAGCTTTTAAAAAATATTTCTCTTTAGGGGCACCTGGGTGGCTCAGTCGGTTAAGCGTCCAACTTTGGCTCAGGTCATGATCTCACGGTTCGTGAGTTTGAGCCCCGCATCGGGCCTTATGCTGAAGGCTCAGAGCCTGGAGTCTGCTTCAGATTCTGTGTCTCCCTCTCTCTCTCTGCCCCTTCCCTGCTCGCACTCTGTCTCTCTGTCTCTCTCAAAAATAAATAAACATGAAAAACAGTTGAAAATATATCTCTTTAAACCCTGGCAAAAGATCTGGGTGTGGCCTTAAGGACCACAGAGCTCTCAGCCTCTGGCTGCCTGAGTGTTTGTAGCCATTTCATGACAAAAACAAAGCAAAACAAACAAACAAAAAACCCCACTTCCGTCTAAGAGTAGTTTGTGATTGCTCTGTGAAGTCTGGACAGGGGAAATATGTTCTTAGACCAGAGAAACATACTCCTTACTGAGGAGCCTTGGCTCTGGGGTGTAGGCTGCAAGGACTGCGAAGTTCTAGAAGGCTGTGGTGTTGTTCTGGGGGACAAAAATGGTAGGTTTGCAAGCTCCAGAGCTGGCCGTACCCTGCTATTGAGTGACACGTCTCCAAATACAATCCACACACGCAACGCCTTACATCTGACTGGCACTTGCTATCAATCCCTGAGACGTGGGAATTCTTTCAACCTGATCTAAGGGATGAGGACATAGAGGAATTGTGGGGCGCGTGGACTTGCCCAATGCCTGTGTGGCTTAGAGGCAGGGTGCTCATGCCAGTGTATTCAGCATGGCCCTGTTTAGCCCACGGTTCGGGCGTACTTGATAGCAGGACCTCCCTGTCATTCACTCGAGTTTCTCAATTCTGATGATATGTCATCTGGCTTTTGAGTCCAGTTCGTTTGCCACCAAATCTCACAGACTTCCTCTAATGTCTTGCCCATGCGCTTTGAAAGTCATAGCTCGTCAAATTCACGTTGCCTGTACAATCTGGAACAGTCCCTTCTGCGCCAAGCCATGTCCTTGGCTCTGCCAGTCGTCTTCTATTTTCTTCCATGACGCAGAGCAGGGGCAATCGGGCTGCTACCACATTTTTCAGGAAGGTTCCCCCCACCCCCTGCCAAACACATCGGATCACAAAAATCTGACCCCAAGGAAAAGTGGTGTAAGGCAGAGAGATGTAAGATGTCAGCTGATGAGGCCCCCTGGCATTCTTTTAAAAACTCAGGACACCTGGATGTGTGTTGGTGTTTATAACTGAGCTACGCTGTCTGGTGAGTGGATTAGCAGTTTGGGTTCTAAAAGTGATCTTCAAGCCAGTGCCCAAGGAGATATTTGGTATTTTCCCAGGAAATGGCGCTGTGAATGCAGCTCCCAGGCAGAAGAACCCAGATTGTTCTTCCGGCACAAGCCTGTTGGCATTCTCCTGGGCAGGGTTAGGTGTGAGGCTGGCATTTGGAGAGTGTCAGAATGGCGAGAAGGGCGTTATCCTCAGATGCGGCCCGTCCCGGGCTGCCCCGTGGCAGGATAGATCATAACACTACAAGCCAGAGATAAACATCTCAAAAATTCCCCACCCTCACAGGACTCCCAGTGTTATCAAACCTCTCTGGTTTGATACTTATAAGAGCAATAATGGAGAATGACTTCAGGGGAAAAAATTCTGTATTATTAGTTTAATATGACTCATAACTTCGAAACAACTGATTGGCTCAACCTCCAGAAATCTATTCATTGTAGGAATTACAACATCTGCCATTAAATATCACTTAAAAGAGATTAGGCTTGTCTTAGCAGAAAGAAACCATCTATTTCTATTTTTATTAAAGATGGCATTCTCCCATCTTCCATTAATGGTATACACAAAGACATTCTCTGGTTAGAATTCATTATGGAATAACTTGAGTAGTCTCAAAAAGTAACATTCATTTCAAAAAAATCTTAAACCCGTGCTTTTCAATAGTTGTTTCATCACATGGCTGGCAGTACGTACCGGAGTGAGGGAGGCAGAGGGAGAGAAATAAGGGTCTCTTTTATGTGTGTGAAAACAACAAAGTCTCTTTCGAGCTTTCACTTTGTGTTAAACTGCAGACCTAAATTAGAGAATTAGAAAGCTCCCCATTTAAAAGCCAATCCATACACCCAAAGTAAAAGCCACAGGCCAAGAAGACCCTCTCCAAATGCAGGCTAGGAATTATTTTGGTTGAGGTTCAGAAATGAACAGAAAATGCCACTCTTCCATAAAAGCTATTGATACCATTTTGGTTTCCAAGTAACATTTTCTCTGTAGAGCTGCAGAAGATAGAATTGTCCATTGAGTAAATGACACACTTAAGAATTAAAAGCATTGGAAAAGGCCAGGAAGAAAGAAAGAAGAGAAAGAGGGAAAGACCAATTAACTGTTGCTATTCATTCCCTGAATGACTTACTGGGCATCTTTAGAAGAAGAAAGTGAAGAGGTCTCAAGTTAAGCTTGACGTGGATATGGAATAGGTAGATACAAAATAGATATGTGTCTCTGGGAGGTTTCTTATCAGAATTACTCAGGACTGTTACCATGTGAAATATTTCAGTCATCACACAGCCCACTTGTTTCATTCAGGACTTTTCCCCTTGCTCTTTCTCTCCTCGCTACCCTTCAAGGCTTCCAGGTAATGTGAGTCCATGCCATTCTAATGTGGCCTTTGGTTATACTGTTTCATGAGGTCTTTATGAAAAAAGACATTTTGATAGGGCTTAAAAGCAAACTGTGAAACCTCTAGTTCTTAACAAATTACTATAATGTGTGCGATAGACACTATCTCCTTATTCATGTATCTCCTTTCATTCTGCACCCATCCTCTTCTCTGGTTTCGACCTTGGCTTCGGGAAAGACTCAGACATGGGGCATATCCCCATGGTGGTAGCCAAGATTTGTCCTTACGCTCTCTTGTTTTGATAGGACTGCCTCAAATTATCTTTCCCAAAGTGATGGAATCAGAACACAACTGTTTTGGTGGGTTTTGGAGATCGAAAACAATAAACTGGGAAATTTCCTATCATTTTCTTCTTCAGTCCAGCCACAATATATCGGGGGGGGGGGGGAATGTCATATTCTAATAAAATAAACAGAGAAAAAAGGAAGCTCTGATTATTAAAGCCATATTTAGATGTTTGCACAAAGACTGTGGGACTCTGTGATCACACTAACGTCAACAGCACACGTGTATACTGTCTGAAGCTTACTTGCTCTGAAAACCTGGTCAGATTTGCTCAAAGCCCCCCCTCCCATGTCTTGTGGAAATCCAAAGCCCCTTCCAGGCTCCTGAGAATTCTTGGGAGGGAGGGTGGGGCTCATACTTCTTGGGCACCTCAGATCGTAGCCTCCTACATTTGCCGCATTTCGGGGAGTTCTTGTTTATCCTGTCACTTTGTGGAAGTTGTTGCTCTTTCCCATTGTGCTGACCCAGGTGTGGGACTCAACTCCTTTCTATGATCGCCATGAAAATTACAGTTATAAATCCCCATGTGTGTAGAAGATTTTTGTGAAACTGTGGGGGACCATTAGTGGGGGCAGGGAATTAGGGGAGAGCAAAGTGTTTAATCTTGAAATGCAGGCTATTTCAGCCTTAATGTTCCTGGATTCAAATGTCCTTAAATTACGGAGTATTTGGGATTAAAATGGAGAAAATTCAAATTTTGAAATATTTAAAGTATCAGGCAGAAGCAGCTAATAGTATAGTGTTATTAATTAATAATAATTATTATATCCGAAATATTCTTGTTCCTTTCCGTCTGCCAGTACAAAGCTGCTCCCATTAAATGAATGTTATTCTCATGCTTGGTTTTTTACTTCTTTTACTTATGTATGTGGCCGTCATCAGTATAGGTTCTTGTATGACCTGTCTTTACCTGTAAATATATCAAATGTTGTATGTATTTGATGTATATAATACATAACACTGTATATGACATTGTTTACTTGCTTTTCTTTTTATTATTATTATTTATTTATTTCCAGTCCAGGTTTTTATTGAAAGTGGCCGGAGCCTTTCAACGTTAAAAATATGGAATGCTTCACGAATTTGTGTGTCATCCTTGCTCAGGGGCCATGCCTTGCTTATCTTTTTAAAGTTAATTTATTTTGGGGACACCTGGGTGGCTCAATTGGTTAAGCGTCCGACTTCAGCTCAGGTCATGATCTCACAGTTCGTGGGTTTGAGCCCCGTGTTGGCTCTGTGCTGACAGCTAGTTCAGAGCCTGGAGCCTGCTTCGAATTCTGTCTCCTTCTCTCTCTCTGATCCTCCCCTGCTCACATGGTCTCTCTCTTTCTCTCAGAAATAAATAAAAATTTTTAAAAAAGTTAATTTATTTTGGGGGCTCCTGAGTGGTTCAGTTGGTTAAGTGTCTGACTTCGGCACAGATCGTGATCTCAAGATTTGTGGGTTGGAGCCCTGCATTGGGCTCTGTGTTGACAACTCAGAGCCTGGAGCCTGCTTTAGATTCTGTGTCTCCCTCTCTCTCTTTCTGCCCTTTCCCTTGCCTATGCTCTGCCTCTCTCTCTCCAAAAAGAAATAAACATTAAAAATAATTGTTAAAGTTAATTTATTTTTGAGAGAGATACTACATGTGTGTGTGTGAGCAGCGGAAGGACAGGGAGAGGGGGAGAGAGAGAATCCCAAGCAGGCTCTGCATTGTCAGCACAGAGCCCAACTTGGGGTTCAATCCCACGAACCATGAGACCATGACCTGAGCTGAAACAAGGGTCAGTTGCTTAACTGACTGAGTCACCCAGGTGCCCCTACTTGCTTTTCTTTTCTTCAACATCGATGCAAGTAGTTTCCACTTATTCCTTAGTGGCTGTATAATATTCCACTGCATGACTAGTCCACGATTTATCCATTTCCCCACTAATAAACATTTAGATTTGGTTTTAGTCATAGCTGTCACACACAATGTGACGTGAGGGCTTCCTTAAGGGACATACCCTTAAGAACCCACCAGGGGTCACTTCATCTCTCCCAGAGTCCCTAGCGTCATGTTGCTTACTCCAATACTTCCTTTTCAATTCTTCATCCTCACTCTTTTTAGTGTAAAATATTTTCAGTCACTCAAAATTATCTGCATTCTGGTTTTGGTTGAGTCATTCAGCTCGTTTTAGCCTCTGCACCTAAACTCAGTTCTGTGTTCATCTTTGCATATGCAATTCCACCATGACATCCTGCAGAACAAACCCAACCAAGCAAACACCTCTTTTAAGAGGACCCAGGCTCTTTAGAAGGTGATCGTGATTGTAAAAGGAATTTGATTTCTCCTTTGGTTTTAGGAACCAAAAAAGTCACCGTGGGATGGTGATTTGCTCTGTCTCTTGGTCTAGAGAATCACTATGTGCTGATGAGATATTTGTCTTTGAAGGCATGGCTCCTTTTCTTCTCTCCTCTTTGCTCCTCCTTCCTTCCTTCCTTCCTTCCTTCCTTCCTTCCTTCCTTCCTTCCGAGTGTGCTCAGTGAGGCAGGAGGGATGATGGGTGGATGAGCATCTTGTTGAGCACTGTATAGCTCAGGTTGAGGTATCCCAGATTTCTGGTTGTGCTAGACTGTTTAAGAGCTTAAATCAGATAATTAGAGATGTATTCGTTGAGTGTGTGATAATGAAAATCATCAGAAGTTCATTCCTCAAGTCAATGTTAAGTCTAGGCATTGGCAGCAGAGAATCTCAGGCTCTTCAAAGGTGATGGCAAGATTGACTTGACCCTGCCTTGTATGTTTAGTTTGGGGACACCTGCATCAAATCTCTTGAGATATCCATAAAGATACAGATACGAGAGCATCACTGTAGACTAACTAAGTCAGATTATCTAAGACTGGAACCTGGGAATCTACTTTTAATAGACTAAAGTTTGAGAAATGCACCGTCAATATATGATTCCTCTCTACATTTTTAGATTCATGCAGGTAAACAGGCAGTATACACTATGGGCTCTAGTGAAGGTGGCTTTGTGTTCATTATGTTGAGGATGGACGGTTATGCCTGTATCTAAATGGGTTAAAGAAAGATTAAAGAGCTGCTTGAAAGCCTAGTGATCAAGAAAGCCATGCTTGGATGCTGACATGCTCTGGCTTTATCCTATAAAACCTCAATATTTGGTGCCTTTAAAATCGCTGAAGGAATGCGAGGGCTTGAGTGTTTCTGAAAAACAGAAAGGGAAATGATAAGAGGGGATATTTTCATATCCATGGCCATCGAGCCCATAGGCCTACGTGATCCCTCTGGGAAAGACAGAAATATCCCCAAACAGGTAAGGGAGATGGGGAGAGGGGAGGGAAATGGGATCTGAAAGCCAAGTTGGTTGGTTTATACCAGCTATGTTTTATGAAATTAATCTAGCTCTCACACCATTGTGTGATTCTTGTTATGAGTCACTATAGCAGATTATTATATATAATCTATATACACAATGATGATACATATGTAATTTATATATACCAGGTATATTATTACATACAATAATCAATATATAGCAGATTATTATATAATAACCTATATATCCAAGATTATTATGTATACAATCTCTGTATACTAGAGATTATTATATAAATGATCTATATATTAGAATAGATTATTTTACATACATAATCTATAGATTAGATTATATTTATATAAACTGTTTATACTATAGTAGATTATTATATATAAATCTATAATACTTTTAAGGCAAGAATTAAAAAATTTGTTGTTATTTAAGGATTAAAATAATGGATGGATGTATATAATCATATATCACATATCATGTATTATTAATCACATATCACATATTACATTACATATATTTCCACCTGCCAGCCATTTTAATCCTAAAGTAACAACAGGCAATTTTTAAAAAATTCAGTTCCTCCAGGAACTGAACATAAGGTAACATCTGCCAAGCATTTACATCTACTCTGTGCAACAACCAAAAGGGGGTTAAATTTTGAACTTGTTTATTTGTAGGTCTTCTCTTTGAATATGTATTCTGAAGCGTTCTGTTTTCAGTATGGGGTGTTGTTCAAATGAAAATATTTGCCAGAGCAACTCCATCAAGATAAAACCCAGACAAAGAGCCGGCCTCACAGCCAAGCAGGCATGTATATTACAGGACCTGCGCTCCAATGGAAATGATCACAGCTAACCTCATGGAAAAATGCAAACGTTCAAGGGTTGTTAAGACAAGATCAAATTTGTGAATGCATCGTAACACCACTTTTTCAAAAAGTAAATGGTGTCTTAGAGGATTCTTCAACTTTGTTCCAGTCCAAAAGCTGGGGTGGGGGGGGGGCAGGGGGGCAGGAAAGGTGCTGACGGAAGCCTGAGGCATCCGCCAAACTCCTTTTCGTCTACAAAAATGGGGAACAAACCTTTAGGCAAGATGCTAAAAATACGCTCATTTTGGTGAAACGAAGCTGTTTGAATAAATGAAACTAATAGTTTTTATCTAAACCATCTGTGGTGTGAAATGGGAAGTCAGATAGAAAAGTCCTCCGAGACTTCTGATTGCTCTGCATTCTCTATGTTAGAAGGGAGAGGGGGAGGGAAGAAAATGGAGTTTCTCTCCATTTATCTGAGAATTAACAAAGTGATCAGCAAAGTGACAATGAAGCCACCTCGCGCTGGCTGCGGGCAATCTGTCTCCCCCAGCTGTCCCTGTGCCGAAGGTGATTGTTCAGGGAACGAAGGCCAGAATCATTTAGAGAAAGTGATAGGTTATGTGAAGTGGCAACTTCTTTCCCTGTGAGAAAAGAGAGAGGGGAGAGAGAGGGAGAGAGAGAGAGAGAGAGGGAACCCAATCTAGAGCTACCCAGGGGACCTTAATGTTGTAAAGGACTGTCACTTCTGTTATGTTGGTCTCCTGAAACCACATCTTGAAACCAGGTGTTGAAAGTGACCCAACTCAACAGCTAGAATGGTTTTGTAGATATGCGTATATTTTGTAATACTACCTGGAAATGGCAGTTTCATTTAGATCTGCCATTCTTTTTTTCTTCTTGTATGAAACTCTAACCAAGACCAGATTTAGGTTTCTGTGGGTCTACCTTGATAAAACAAAACAAAACAAAACAAAAAAACAAGTTACAAAATCCTCTACGGAATTGGTTACAGTTTATGGAGAGATGAATTCTAATGAGTGTCCTCAGGCTTGAGGAGACTGGATGGAAGTAGGTCGAAGATGGACCTAACCATGATTCTTGGGGCAAGTTGCTTTCCTATGGTACAATTTCTCCATGTTTGACCCTCACACCAACCAATGTTAAGTTTCTGGAAGGACTTTGATCCATGAACCACCTGCCATGGGCATTGCTTCCTTTCATTCATTGTTCTTTTTGGTTCTTGCGTAATCACAGTGAGGCCTCAAAATAGTTTATTCCTTCACTGCCCACGCTCATGTGAATAATCAAAGAATTACAGGCCAGTGAGTGGCAACCAAACCAAAATGAAGCCATGAAGAAAACATTTGCCAAATGTTGTCCTGAAAAACATGATTAAGAACACACTGAAGTGATCCCCCCCGACCATCTCCCCCCTCGCCCCCACCCCCCGGACTTTCTTGTATTCTATTAACATTAATTTTTTGGAACAAATGGTTGATGCTATATTCTCTGAGGTTAACTTAATTAGCAACAGGTATGCTTTGACCTGAGCAATGCAGATGCTCCTTTTAGGTAAGGTTTAGGGTACCATCCAATCAGGTCGAGAGGGTGCATTTCTGCACAATCTGACATTTGGCCTAATTTCTCAGAGTGGGCAGGCCTCTTACAGGGGTAGCTCTGGCTCCACGAGTCTAAGCCTGTTTTAGGATTTAGAATGCTCTGTGACTTACAGTCATAGATGAAATTTTCAGCAGATTCCGTACTCTAGATTTTCCCTTGTCCCTAGCCTGGGCATCCGCAGGACCAGGAATGAAAGCTCTCAGTGGTGAGCACAGCTCAGCGGGGTTCAGTGGGGCTCAACACGCATCTTGCCTTTTGCTCTCAGTGGAGAATCACTTCATTCCTCTAATTGGAAGTGCTGAGTTGGTACTATGTCTCCTGTGCCTTTCACCCACCATCGCGGTGCATGGAGAGTAGTGTGGAAGAATGGCCTGCTCTCACGGCTGAAGAGTATGGTTCATTTGTCTACACCTTTGAAT